CAACATTTGCTGAAAACACCACCAGAAAGTCGAATGAACCACCTCCTCATACACAGGTGCAATGACATGAAGATTTGTACTGCACTTATAACATACAGGTATTGAAACAGGCTGTGTGTGTGTGTGTGTCTGTCTGTCTCCGTATGTCTGGTTGTCTCCCTCCTTCCTTCCACCCTCTCTCTCTCTACTCCCTCCCAGCTGCCTCTGACTCCATCCTCTGCCTCCTTTCCCCTTCGCTGTCACTCCCTCTGCACCTGAACTGCTCTCCCATCTCTGCATCTCCCTCTACTTGCTGCTCCATCTTTTCCTACCACCGTCCCCAGTGCTCAGAACAGAAGACACCACCTATCTGTTCCTGAGCATACCCATCTTTAGTCTACCTTTCCTGCACAGACTGACCAACATCCATAAATCCTAACTGCTAGTCCCTGAGACAGTGGCAAGAGTGAGCACAGTGTGGGTCAAGGCCCACCCCAGGATCTCTCGGCCATGTCACATACATGGCTGCCTGATGTGGGGGCCACCCAGAACCTCCTCTCCCTCCCCACCACACTCCAATAAGCTCTACAACCTACACAGGGTGAAGGCAGGTCAGGACCCAAGGTCAGCTCAGGCCTGGAAGCCTGCTTAGGCCCAAATCAGGGCATGGACTCTGGAGGCAGACCACAAGGGTTCCCATCCTACTCCAACAACTTACAAGCCACTGACTTGGGACGTGGGGTTCACCCTCTGTGTGCCTCAGTTCCACCACTGGCAAAATAGGGGGATAACAGTGCCTGCTTCTCAGAGTTGTGAGGATCAAATGCAGATTAACATATGGGAAGGACTCAGCACAGTGCCTGGCACACAGTAAGCCACGTGTACATGTTCCTGATCACTCTCATCATCATGATGATGTAACAAGAGAGGGGCAGAGCCGAGCCAGTCTGTGAGGGCCCAGTCAGTGCCCTTCAGGAACACCCCTGCAGTTGAACAAGTTGGGTTCATTACTCATCCCATCGAAGGAGAGCATGCACCAGGAGGAACCATGGGGTGTGTCTGTAAGAGGGTGTTAAAAAGAAACTGTTATTGCACTGGGCTTTAGTTGTGTCATTTAGGAGACAGTCTAAGGAAACTCCAGATTGGATGTTGTTGAAAGGTGGGGGAAAGCTATCGATGGTTAGCTCAATATTTACAGGGAGGACAGACAAGAGCAAGGATAGAGCTGTCACTGGTAACAAAGTAGCAGCCACTCATTTCAGCCAAGAGAGAAGGATGTTTGGCATTTTGGGGGCTGCACAGGGATTAGGAGTTGTATGTTCTCGTGGTCTCAGAGTGACTGCCCTTCTTGGCTCAGGCTGCGATAACAAAACACCATCAACTGGGTGGCTTCGACAACAGGAATTGATTTCTTACTCCTGGCCTAAAAGGGAAGCAGGGACAAGAGGGGGGACAGAAAAGGAGGGGCAGGTGCTGCTGTTTGAAGGCCAAGTGGGGTCCCATGAAGAAGAAACAGCCACATGGATTGGGAAAGGCATTGGCCAGTGAGCAGGTGGAGGCAGCCCAGGACACACATAAGAGAAGAGGGATGGGTTGGTGACATGAAGCTTCACAGTGGAGCTACAACTAGACCTCTAGGGCCTGGTCAACTGTGTTAATTTAAAGGAAACAAGGCAAAGATGGATCATTTTTAGTACAAACCATGCTACACATATTGAGGCCTTAAAAACATGACCCAGGGAATATCTATTGGTGTAGTGACAGATCTACAGGAAATGGAAGGGAGGAAAGAGTAGGTGTCTAAAGTGTACGTGCAATTAGTTGCTGCAGTGAAGACACAGGTGTGTGTGAGTGCTCACACTAGGAGGCCAGAGGGATCGAGAGGACATCGTGAAAGCACTGAAAGAAGAGACCCAGCAGCCCAGCACACAAGACGCAGCAGAGACGTCCTTAAGGAGGGAAGGCAAACAAAACCAAACACACACAAAGGCTCACAAAGATGCGAGAAAACTAGGAGAATTCACCTCCCAAAATGATGTGAAAGGAACTTTTTGCAACCCAATAGTAAACTATCCCGGACAAAGAGAGAGCCTATTCTTCTCCTCTTAGATTGTTGAACATGCGTATGAGCTGAGACCAGAGTCTATGACTACATAGAACATGCTGTTTGCATACTACGGTTCAGCTTTGACTTGTCAACATGAGGACCAGGTGTCCTCTCTAAAATTCAAGCAGAAGTTACAAGTCACTAGGGACCAAACCAGCCCAAAGGAATGTTCTGTTTAGTTCAGACAGTTTTAGTTTTAATGAGGAGACTTTACATAAAACATCAAATTAGATAAAATGAGACCCCAGGCCTACATTCCCATATAGCAGCAGCAGCTCTCCAGGTGGCCAGGGTCCCCACTGCTCCCTACTGTGGCCACCTGGCGTCCTCAGCACCCACTTGGCCCTGCTGGCACCCGACCTTGCAACCTGAGGTGAGAGGCCAACAGGAGGAACCAGAAGATTCTTCCATCTGCCTTCCCAGCCTAGGTGGCCCTGCAGAGCCAGCAGTGAGACCCAGGAGGTGCACGGGAACCCAGACCTGTGGACGAGCCACTCCCCACTCCAAGGAACCTCACGTCATGTGGCACCAAAACCCGGGCTTCTGCGCCAGCCCTGCCTCTCCCCTTCACCTGGCACTGGGTGGCTCTGGACCCTGGGGATTCTTTCATAAATAAGCACTTCGAATGGTTAAAAGAGAGGAATTGGCAGGGAGTGGGGGTCAGAGGGTGGGATGAAGGAATCTGACCAGTGATATTTAGTAAAAAGCTCAAAAGCCACAAACAAGAAGCAGACAGACTAAAAAGGCAACACTGACCCAACGGAGGAATGTGAAGTCCACAGACCTCAGCTGTGTCACTGCGTCCCTCCTCCTTGCACTCCCACCCCAGCAGCCAGGAAAGCGACCCCAAACAAAACTCCTCTGGGGGCTGACCTGCTGTGGAAACACCCCAGCTCTGAGTTTGCCTCTGTGGAAGGGAAGCTGAGGAAGGCCAGCCGGAGCCTAGAAATGCCTGCCTGGACCCGCAGAGCCCAGAGCTGTTGAGGGAAGGATGAGTGCTCGGGGGTGCTCCGGCTGGGGACTGTCCCCCTGGGTGGCCCTCGGTCAGTGGAAGGAATACTGGAGTCCTTCCCAGAAAGCTCATGCCAGCCTGGGCAGGGGCAGGCACAATGTCCTCGGGGGCTGAGGTCTGGACGCTGGCCTGCCTGCTCATGCCTCTGTGTGTTCTCTGGAGTCCAAAGGGGGGCACTGTGGGCCCCTGTCCCTGGGGACAAACTGTACCCCGACTGAGGGGACACACGAGGTTTCTAGTGTGGCTGAGATGAAGACTCAGAGCTGCTGAGAAGTAGTGGAGAGGGTGGGACAGGACTGTGAAGCAGGCTTCACAGCTGAAGGCCACCCACAGGTGGGTTACTCTGCCTCCCCCGGTTCCAGCCTCAACCTAACAGAGCCCTTAGAGGGTGCAGTCTAACAGCAGGAGCCAAGTGACACAGAGAAGCAGGGCCTCTGGTGACCACCACCCTCGCTCATGAGAGGGCAAACATCACCTGTGGCCCTCTGGCCAGGCTGTCAGGAGAGCAGACGGTGCTCACTCCAGCTGGTGAGCTGCCAAGGTAGCTGGGATTTGTTTCCCAGCTAGAGCCAGGGCACCACCCTATCACATCACGTTGCTCACCCGCTCTAAACCTCCTGTGGCTTTCCACCCTTCACAGAAGCAACCCAGAGTCCTGGAGCAATGCAGAGGACAGTAACACGTCCATGTTGAGTCAGCAGGTGGGTGGCAGATGTTCACTGTCAAATTCTTCAACTTCACTGAATGTTTGAAAATTTCATAACACAGTGTTGGGGTGAGATAGTGGGTCATGCATGCAGTGCACATATGAGCCCCGGCCTGCACCCTGCACACCGCCCGTTCAGCCCCCTCCTGCCAACAGACCTGCCCACGACGCACACTGAACTTGTCACCTCGGGGCCTCTGCACTTGCTTCTCCCTGTCTCTGTGGACTGCTCTTCCTCTAGGGATCTGTGTGGCTCCGTCCCTCCCTCCCTTCGTCAACTGCTACGTCAGGGAGGTCTTCCTGGGTCACACCCAATCATTCCCATCCCCTTTCCCTGCTTTATCTTTCTAGGCTCTGCACTTGCTTCTCCCTGTCTCTGTGGACTGCTCTTCCTCTAGGGATCTGTGTGGCTCCATCCCTCCCTCCCTTCGTCAACTGCTACGTCAGGGAGGTCTTCCTGGGTCACACCCAATCATTCCCATCCCCTTTCCCTGCTTTATCTTTCTAGACAGCACATACTGCACCTGACATATGTTTATTTGGGTTTATTTGGTATGCTTACTGTCTGTCCTATCCCACAACCATAAGCTCCCTATCCCCAGTGCCAACATAATGCCTCGTACACAGCAGACTTCAATAAAATGCATAAGTGATGAAGGCAAGAATGCACTGAAGAAACCCAAGGGCTCTGCTTCCAACAGCAACTGCACACCCTCGACCCAGCTGCGGACAAGTCCCACATCAAGCCCTGAGCCTGGCAGTGGGTGCTACCCAAGAGAAGGTGGCAACTCACACACCTGAAAACCCCCCAGTGCTAGGGTGGTGTGCCAGGCCCTCAGTAGTCTCTCCCACCTCCTCTCCTCTTCCAAACTGCCCCATAAGATCAATATTGTCATCCCCTTCACCAAGAAACTGAGGAGGAGCCCAAGATCATCCCAGGTGGCAAATGGTGGAGTGGGAACTCAAACTCTGACCTTGGCCCTGCTCAGACCAGATCTTGACTCCACACCCAGATGCTTCCCAGGACCCACACTGGCTTCCCAGCCAGAGGCCATGACGACTTCTAGGCTAAGTCATCATCAGCAAAGGCAGGATTAAGGACCCTCAGCCGAGGAGCACTGCCTCGGCACCTTCTCCACCATCTCTCTGTGGCCTGCATGGTGCCCCTTCGAGTGGGAGGAAATCACCGCACTTACCAGGGATGTGGATCTTGAACTTGCCACTCTGGCCGAAGGTGCTGTCAATGACTCCCAGCTCCCCAGTGGACAGGTGCACCTTGAGCCCCACAAAGAGCTGGATGTTGGTCTCTTTTTTGAACAGGGAGCCACCAATCATGCTGTAGTCGTCCATCACCTGTCCCACACACCCAGCCATGGAGAGAGAGAGAAGGCATGAGCAGCACACATTGGCACAGCAGCAATGGCCATAGTTCTCCAGGGGCAGCAGCCAGATTATGCCCTGAGCATGGCCCCCTGCTGCACCCTCGAGCAACCCTGAGGGTAGCAGGGCAGAAACATGAGACCGTCAACTACCACTGTAATGATGGGCCTCGACATAGGCCCGCTGTGAGTACTTTGCGTGGGTCCATACCTCTGCCAAGGAGGTAGGTGCTGTGTGGCTGCAGTGGTCAGAAGGTCTCCTGAGTGTGGTGACCCGGAGGAAGGCCCTGAGGCAAAGAAGAGAGGGCTGGTACTGGGCAGCAGGACAGGGATGCTCCAGGGCCCCAGGAAGCACCCAGGGTGTGGGGACCAAGAGAGGTCACAGGGTATAAGACAGTGGGAAGCTGCAGAGGGCCTTTCAGAGGAGGGTGATGTGACCTCGTTTGTGGATTGAGACTGCTCCAGCTGCCTCTGGAGAGTGGGTCAGTGGGGGCAGCGGCAGACCCAGGAGAGGGGAGGGGCCCAGGCTGGAGAGGACAAGATGGGTCTAGCTCCCTGCAGTTGCTTAAAAGGAAGTGTCCTCCAGCGGCAACTGTTGCCTGCCACCTCTAGAGACCCAGCTAAGTCTCCACTGTGGCTTTCCAGTCAGAAAGGACTGAGGCAGCTCAGCCAGGCCCTAAGGCAGCCAGCCCATGCAGAGGGGCTGGGCCAATCCCTGGCAGGATGGGCCTTGAGCATGCCCTGCAGGAACTGTGCACTCAAGGGTGGCCAGACTCAGTCCAGAAGGAAGCAGGGCTCGCAGGAGGGACAGAGCCAGAGTCAGGGCAGAGGGTCCTGAGGGCCAGCCCCACACCATCACCTGGAAAGCTGGCTGGCTTCTGATGACGCCGAGTGGCACTTCCCTCAACTTTAAAACTCTGCATCACCTTCCTGGTTTCTTGATTTAAGTGCACATGGCCTGGGTCCACTAAACTAACTCTTTTCAAAAACTTACATATGTCTGTTGTAAAAAAAAAAATTCCATTACCACTGTAAAAAAAAA